TTAGCTAACTCTACCAGGTTAGCATGTTAAGCTGTACTTTATGTGGCAGCAAGCTTAATACAAAGAGGGGTTTTGTGCTTCATTGTAAACTTTTCTTACAAATGTGTGTTAATCTACTTGAAACTGTAGAGACAGTTTTTTTCTACTCAATTATACAGACCATTGTTGAGGAGATGCAAAACATACTGTACAGGAGTTGGGTCCGACATATACTTTGACTAATGTTACTTTGCTGCTAAAAATGAAACATCATTATCAGATGAGGACATCTCCAAAGTGTGTGAGTCTGTCAGGGGATTTGATCTGTTCTCTGCATGTCGAAATGGCTGAGGTGAAGGCGGAGCTCGGAGAATACAGCATTGTCAATAACACTTCCTCAAGAGCGAAATCCAACGTCTGGGAGGCTTTTGGTGTCATCCTAGATGGAGAAAATAACCAACATCCCACGCTTTTTGAGACAAATATGCAACTGCGTGTGTTAATAATTGCACATTTTTAATGCTCATAGGATAAGCGGGTTCGGGTCAGTTTGCGGATCTTGACAATCAGACCTGTGCAGGACTCTGACACACAGTCCACCTTCAGCCTCTGAGGGTCTAATTAGTGATGCAGCCTCCGTACAGGGGGGCTCCATAGTGATGCTGAGGGACACAGGGGGGTGGAGTCAGCCTGGCTCTGTGCTGCCGGGGGGGGGCGCAGGGTGCAGCAGGGTGGAGTACTTCAGAGGGACGTCCAGCCCCACCACAGGACCCACCACACTGAGCCACGACAACACGTAGTTCACCGGCCTACACACACACACAGACATTTTAACAAGAACCCTTATGTTTGCATTTGAATTTTGCTGTATCTACTCAGCCAATATATAGAAGGAAAATCAAGAATTAAAAAATAATAATTGTGTGTCAGAATTTTTTATTATTTGACAAAATGATTTTATTAATACGTTACAGAGTAAAGTATTCCACTGATACTAACTTTCAAAATAAAAAGTTTGCTCTCCTGATTTGCAGCAGCACAATGACTTTATAACCTGTCGAGATATCAGAGCTGTATGGACCAGCTGTAACTCGAACAACAACTTAATGCACTTTTTAGTTGCATACAGATGTGAGTTAATTGAAGCGCCTGATCCACAGTGTGATGCGTGCACTGAGTTGCAGGTGAGCCATCAGCAGGGATCCTACCTGTGTTGGTCCTGAGCCGCCTGCAGCACCGGACGCATGAACTCCTCCGTCCTGCAGGGGTGAAGCATGAAGAAAGGCTGACCCAGCAGAGGGTGCTCCTGACACACACACACACACACACACACACACACACACACACACACACACACACACACACACACACACACACACACACACACACACACACACACACACACACACACCCTCTGGTAGCTGGCTTGATGATTGTCACACTTTTAAACTTCATCTCAATAACCTGCTTAAAAAGCTGAGGGTTAGGCTAGGTTTCTTCTACAGGAACAAGTCCTGTTTCTTACTTGAGGCCAGGAAAAGGCTAGTCACTGTGACCTGTGCTGGACTATGGTGATTTGATTTATATGAATGCACCTGCCAATTGCCCGATCAAGTTAGATGCCACCTATCACAGTGCACTGAGATTTGAGACAAACTGTAAAGCATTAACCCATCACTGTACCCTGTATGCAAGGGCCGGTTTGCCTTCACTACCTGTACGGAGGCTCAGTCACTGGTACATTTTTATATACAAAGCCATGATAGGGAAACTTCAATCCTACATCTGCTCCCTGATCTCACGGCGAATTGTAAGTGGCTACTGCCTGAGATCACATGCTGTGGTTTTATTAAATGTGCCAACTGCTAGGACTCTCTTAGGGAAGATGGCATTTAGATGCGCAGCTCCACTGTCATGGAATAGTCTGCAATTGAAATGGAAACTGAGCAATCTGGTGCCACTAAATGTTTTTAAAGCTCGGTTGGATGCTATCAATCGGAAGCTGTTGTACCTGTTCATTTGGATAGTTATGTAAATGTAAATCCCTGTAATGATGCTGTAGATGTCATTTTGTTGTTCTGTTTATGTTTTTTTATGTTTCATGTGGAACCTACTGAGCAGGGGGGTATACTACGAAGCTGGTTCAACCTAACCTGGATATGTTTGAGTTAGCCGGTTGGCCTAAATCCAAAACATACCGCGCTCTCGCTAAACGGTACTACGACGCGGGTTATCAAGTGACCGCTCAAGCCAGCCGTGTCCTATCTAGTTAGGTGCGCTTTCACATGAAAAGGGGTGGTATTTGGAGCATTCGACCAATCACAAACATGGACAAGCGTACTGACAG